TTGACAGAATCCGAGCTTCCCTTCTAGGCCTGCTAGGATTTGCACTGGGCAATGATAGAGAACCTTGTGGAGTTTTCAATGATACAAACAGCCCACTGTGGCACATGTGCCATAGGTTCACCATCACTGGCATAGGGGATGTGTCTCACATGCTTTGCTTATGATTGCTTCTCAAAAATCAACAAATACTGCATTACTGTCATTCAAAACAACAATACAAAAGCAATTCCACTGAAACACAAATGGACTTCAAACATTCTATTTATAAATAACACACATGCTATTTTCACTCACAGTTTCAGGCCTTTCTTCCAACACTTGCACACAGTTCTTTAATTCAGCCTGTATGGTTCATTAGAAACCATATTATGATTTTTCCCATTCACAGTACAACTAGGCTTCTTATTGAGAACATGGAAGGAAAACCTAATTATTACTGCTTCAGTGCACCTAAATTTATTTAATTACCAAAATCAACAGAATAAGGGCTAGATACTGTCATGAAGGGCAGACGGATATGGAGTGTAAACTGCTCTTTCCTCCACTCTTCCTCTCCACGCCCCACCCCTCAAAGTCCCACGGTTGGAAATCATCCTAACTGTTTTTTAGCCAGGATGTACTAAAATTAGATGAGAACAAAGGCCTGACATTTTCATATCAGCAGAGGGGTTAGGAGGCAAATGCGCACTGGCAGCACCCACACTCAACTACATTTAGCCTCTTCCTCCCGACTCCCTCCTCCTGGAAGCGCCACCACGGGCAAGGGAATGACAACTACCCTGGTACTGTCTCGGTGTCGCTATTATCCTTGATAATAAACCGCTTCATCTGTAAGCATATTAATGAAAACTGATACAGTTCACAGTCCTCGTAGTCAACCAGAGTATCTTCAGATTTCTAAGGCACTCATATTATCCTAGGATATGCTAATTGCTGGATCATGTGTAAATGTTCATGCATATAGGAAAACAAATGAGCCAAATTTCTTTTCTTAACAAGCTTCAGGGCAACATTCACAATAAAGATCACTCAATAAAATACTTACCATTTGCTGGTACAGTAATAACACATTAAAAATACAATATGGTAAAACACTTTTTCTTCAAAAAACATTTCTTCTGAAAAAATGTAGACTTTGGTTACTTACATCTTCCTCTAATAAGCTAGGAAAGTAATTTGCAAATACTTTAAAGCACAATTGATTGCTTGGTTATAAGTCTTTCTTACAATAGTATCAGCATGACAAAAGTATATTCTGCCAGCCTATACATCCCAGTTTTTGAAGTTCTCCTCCATAAAAGCAGAACATTGACACATCCGTGTCTTGGGAATTATTCCTATCTTTTTCAATTTGATTTCCCTGGGCCTAAACTACATGTCCACACAGTGACAGCTCAAAATTCAGCAAGAAAAGCCCTTTTATGATTAATCTAATGCACTATGTTGTAAAGATTTTTTAAACTCAGTAAGTACTAACTCAGGCTCTCTTTTTTTTCTGGTTACTGAAGCCCATCTTGACATCTAAGCTGGAAATGAATGATCTTTCAACAACACTCCAGGGATTTTGCTAAGGTCATATTCAATCATTCATTAGGCTTCTTACCCGTCGCTTTTCAGAGTTCCATTGTAGAGCTGGTTTTATTCAGCATTTATGTAGCCTGTGGGCTTGGGTATTTGTCTGCTTAATGTTGAGTTTCATTTCTATGCCCCTAACATAAGAATCCATCAATTGACCAAAGAATTTCAAACTATTCTTTCACTTTTCTAACAAATTGCGTGGTGTGTATGAAGAATAAATTAGCATTAATTTTCTTCCATTAACTGTTAATAAAACATGCCCTTGCACTCCCCCTTCTTCTAAAGACATCTCTGTTTCCTGCCTACGTAAAAAACAAAACAAAACAAAACCAAAAAAAGGTAAGATTTCCTAATTTTTTTCCCTCTATGCAATTGACTTTCAACCTAATATGTTCCATGTTTCTCTCAAGGAAACCTTGTCATGGCAGCCTTCTTCCAGTAAAATATACAGGACAAGACTCCATTCAGGGCCCACCCATAAGCCTACTACAATTAGCTGAGAGGTTACTACTGTGGAACATAGACCCTTGGTCTCTTGCTCTCAACACTCTGGGCTGTCTCTGGAGCACACAGACTAGGTCACAGAGCCAACAATAGAACTCAAACCCATGTCCCTGCCCCCTGGAGTCAAGATGATTGTCCACATTTGTACAGATTGTCCTTACAGGCCTCAAAACAGAAACACAGACAGCAGATACACAGGCAGACACACATACACATACACAACACAAATCTACACAATAAAATTATTTAAGAAAACAAAGTCTATTAAGTTAAGCAGGGACGTTCTTATTTCTTTGCATACCAATTTCTTTTTTTTTTTTTTTTTTCTTTCTTTGGTCTTTTTGAGACAGGGTCTCGCTATGCAGTTCAGGCAGGCATCGAGCTCACTTTGTAGCCTAGGCTGGCCTCGAACTCCCAACGAATTCTCCTGCCTCAGACTCCAGAGTGCTGGGATTACAGGCGTGCGCCACCATACCCGGTTGCATACCAATTTTAGGAAAATCATTTTAAGGGGCCTGGGGATATAGCTTAGCAGCACAAGCACCTGCCTGGCAAACGCAAGGTCCTGAGTTCGTTTCCCAGTACCAAAAAAAAATCATTTTAAGGCTATATAAAAATTACTAGTATAATTTCTTAGAAATTTAAGTTTTTTGTTGTACTCTTGGTAAATATGAAATGAGGCCAATATCCAGTACTGTATTACAGTATTCTAGAAATTTAAAAATAGATTATAAGTGAATTGGAGCATATTATTCATAAGAAGATTAAATCTTTTGCACATTTAGTACCCTTCTTCCCTGAAAATAAACAAAAGATTGCACATACATCATAGATGAAGAAGAGCAAGCTAATTTCTACTATGATGTGGAAAAAAATCAAAGACAGTTTGCATTTATTTTTAAATAGCTTTAGTCAAACTGCTCAGAGTAGTGTCAGGTTTGATCCTCATATACGTAAATGCCAGCCCCACAAAATAACTCTGAACTTGTGCACTTGACTTAAAACACACTGTTTTTAAAACTTTCTGTTTGTTAACTGGTAGAGTCCACCATTCAGGCTGTGGCGTGTTACGCAGCAATAATATCACCATGAAAAGCAACAATTCCGAGCAGGCTTCTCAGAGAAATCTCGTTTGCATTTCAAACAAGTTTCCTCAAAATAAGTGCCTTTTGCTTAAATAAAATTACAATTCCAACTTCTCGTCCACAGAAAATAGCATTCATTACATAACGTACTGCTCTTTCTTATCACTGTGTAGTTTTGTTCATAGCTGCCCACCAGTACATAAGATTTAACAATACTAAGTTCAATAATAGTGCATTTATGGTTTATTTCATTAACTGGTGATGTTCAATGGCCTGGTTCCTAACAGCTTAGTATGATCTGAAAATACTAATTTCATGTTAGCATGTTGTACTTTCCCTTTATTCTGATTTCAATCCTTAAGAAGCTGTCTTCCAGCAGGATTAAAGTGGTAAGAAGGATGACAATTCCCTTTTTCTAACCTTATCAACAGCTCCATGATTCAGAAAAGAATAAAAAAGCCTTTACCTTCGCAAATGGAACAAACATGCCCTACCAGGGACTCAAACAGCTTTTTTGGTAACAAAGACCCATTCCAAATTTTCTGTGAATCAGATTCAACGTCTCAGTCTGGTCACGTGTAGAAAACCTATTTTGTTGGATTGATGCTTTAAGATAACATACATATAACCATTCAAAATTCTAAAAGGTTACTCATTATACTTGAAGTCAAAGACTATTAATGTGACAAAACAACAAAAACCAGATTTCTGCAGTAAATTATAAAACTATTATGTTCCTACAGTTTAAGAGCCCATGTCTCATAAAACCAACACAATTTTTAAAATGTTTAAATTGGATATATTTTGAAGTAATTTCTCACTTTATAAAAGCTTTCCCAGACTGCTCTTTTTGTCTAAAAGTCCATGTAAAATGTTTTCAGCTATCCTGCTCAAGACAAATAGCAACATTAATGGTTAGTGTTGATCTAAGACTCATCCCACCCCCAACCCTCAAAGACATATGGAGGAACATTTACTAAATAACAAAAATTGTGAGTTTTACAACCCAATAGGCCTAAAAAGCTGAAAAAAAAATCATCCAATTATATAACTTTCTAAAACTTTGCATTATGACTCCAGTATTAAATAAAACACTACCCCTGGGCCAGGGATATAGTTCAGCAGCAGAAGCGCCTGCCTGGCAAGCACAAGGTCCTAAGTTCGATTCCCGATACCAAAAAAAAACACTACCCCAGTGCAAAATGGCATTAAGTAGTACTTTTGTTGTTGTCTCTGTTGTTCTAATACTAGGAGGTAAAACCCAGGGCTTTGGGTACATGCTGAATGCTATGCCACTGAGCTAACTCCCCAACCTCCTTATCTTTTCAAAGCAATATATAAACTCACTGTCTTGCTAAATTAGCCCCTAACTAGAACATTTGTCTCTATAGCCTTGAGTGTTTATGTAACTGACACCACCCTTTCCCAGAGGAATGACAAAATTCAATTCTTTTTTGTTTTGGTTTGGTTTCTGTTTTTTGAGGCAGGGTTTTGCTATGTCGTCCAAGCTGGCCTCAAACTTTGTGATCCTCCTGCCTGGGTCCCCCAAATGCTGGGATTACAGATGTGCACCACCAAGCCTGGCAATCAACTGATATGGTTCTATGATTTTGCCTAATTACATATGTGAAGGTCCAAAAGTTCTTCCCAGCTATTTTAAATTATTTTAAAAGTAGCCACCATTCAACCCAAATAGTATTTTTTTACTATGCTTCACATTCTAATAGAACACTAAGAAAGTTGTTTGGTTATTTTGGCCCTCGAGTTTGGTGAAATCTTCCTAAATAGCTACATTGAATTCAACTTTACTGATACACAAGAATCAAGCATACATGCTTTTTATAAAATTAATTTACTACTTTAGAGCTTTTAACTGTTTAGCAGTTACAGAAAATTATTTTAAGGCAAACAAAGGAGAAAACATTTACATTTCAAGTATAAAAACACGTTATTCTTCATCAATCTCTCAAGAGCAATCACTGGCTTCCTCATGATTTGTTTCTCACCATCCCATTATAACTCGTCACCGTGTGTATCCTGTGCACTTACTAAGCATTTATTTGCACTTGTATTTTCTGTATCAGGTTACTTTCCTGTGTAGCTTCTTTTAAAAAGCTACCTGAATCTGTCCAAGGAAAAGTTTCACTTTTTCTGGAAAACCAACGCTGCTACACTGTTTCCAGTTCTGCCTCCAAAGCTAAACGTGGGTGTTGACAGCTCTTCAAAAAGTTCAAATCCTGTTGGACAAAATTAAAATACTTTTAATTAGGTATTGAATCTCATTTAAGGGAAATTTGTATTAACACTGTACTTTTTATTTTTGGTGAACCTGGGGCCTCACACATATCACATACATACTAGGAAAGCCCTCTACTATTAAGCTACATCCCCACCCCTTTTCTTTTTTAATACTGAAACAGGGTCTCACTAAATTGCCCAGGCTGGCCTCAAACTTATGATCCCCATTCCTCAGCATCATGTCCTGCTAACATTTATTTTAAAATCCTTTATAAAACTGTGATTTCAAACTCCAAATAGTGACTGAATTTCACGACTTTCTAGTTCTACTACGACTGCATGGATGGCATGTATGTGCAAACCCAACAAACATTTTGAAATGAACAAAGCATAGTAACACCAAAAACAAACTGCAAAAAAGAGACTTACCCTCTTAATCTCCTATTTCTTCCACTTCCTATTAACCATCCCTTCCACCTGTACCTCTCTTAGCCTATTTCACTGCCCTCTTTATAGGAAGCAACTATCATGTGTTCAATTCTTAACATTGCCAGGCACACTGTTTTTCATATGGTTTTATTACAGAAATTCAACTAATCCATATCACACATATAAAAGTGCTTAAGATAGAAAAGTTTAAAAACCTGGAAGCAAAAATGAATTTGTGGAAGATGAAAACATTCTGGGGATGGATGGTGAGGATAATTGGGCATGATGACGTCCAGTGTTTTTTTTTTTTTTTTCTTCCAGTACCAGGAATTGAACTCATGACCTTGGGCTTGCCAGGCAGGCACTGTGCCGCTGAGCTAAATCCCCAGCCCCATGATGATGTCCAGTGATGTAAGTGTACTTACGTCTCTGAGCTATACACTTAAAAAGTGATTAAAATGGTAAAATCTTATGGGTGTTTCACCACAATTTTTTAAAAAAAGGATTTCTAACAAAGTTCAAAACCCAAACTGAACCAGTAAATGGTCTTGGAAAAAAAGAAACTAGTAACTTTCAATGCAGCATGGGATGGTTATTAAAAAAAACACAAACAAAACTAACTTGGAATCAAATGTCCTGGGTTCAATTGGGAGCCTCACCACTTATTAATTGAGAGATATGCTGTCCTAGGCTCCTGAATTCTATGCAAGAAAATTACAGATACAACATCCCCTATGAAACTCACAGTGATTATAAAGATCCCAATAAAACAATGTGGTGTTTTCCTAAACTCTAAAATAAGATGCAAATATAACATTTTACCACTTCAGTTTCTAAGAACAAAACAATGCTGGGGATACAGTTCAGTGGTAGAACACTTGCCTAGCATGTACAGTGCCCTGGCCTTGACTCCTAGCACCGAAAAAAATAAAAATAAAAAAATGCTAACCAAGGTTTTCCCTCACTGATGGATTAACAGTTTGAGAGGGTTTTTTTGTTTATTTGTTTCCATGCTTTGAGTTCAAATAACTATTGTAAACAGGAAAAAAAAATGCTTAAAAAATTATATATTTGTATCAGCTAGATTTTCATATTTTGTGTCATTACACATTCCAATTCATCTTCTTTATCAAGCTTCACCACATCTTCAATTTTGTTGTTGGTGACTGTTTTTTTGAGACAGGGTCTTACTATGTATCCTACGCTGGCTTTGAACTCTCTATCCCACTGCCTGGGCCCTCAAAATGCTGGGATTACAGGCATGAATGCCTCCATAATCAGCAAATTTCAGCAAATCTTAATAAATAAATACTAAGATACTCATTAAAAACAAGCCAGGCACGGTAGTGCATACCTGTAATTCCAGCGCTCAGAATTGCTGAGGCCAGAGGATCACTGAGAGTTCAAGGACAGCATGGGCTACAAAGTGAGTTCAAGGCCAACCTGAACAGCATAGTGAAACCCTGTCTCAAAAAGAC